CACCACAGTGGGCCAGGAGCACCGTGACAGGAGGAGGAACACCCACAGGGGGCCAGCAACACTTATTTTCAGCCACAAAGGGTTGGAATTATGAAGACTGCTGAGGCTGGAGCAGATGCACCCCACTGTAGATCCCAGAGAGCATGGACACACCAGAGACGGGAGCACTGTGAAATGTTAGACGGTAAGAAACAGGACCAAGCCGGGCGGTGGTGGCGCACGCCTTTAATCCCAGCACTTGGGAGGCAGAGGCAGGCGGATCTCTGTGAGTTTGAGGCCAGCCTGGGATACCAAGTGAGTTCCAGGAAAGGCACAAAGCTACACAGAGAAACCATGTCTCCAAAAACAAACAAACAAAAAAAAAAAAAAAAAAGAAAAAAAGAAACAGGACCAAATGATCCAGTTTGTTGTAAGCCACTTTGTTTTGAAGACAATGACCATGAGGTTATTATTCACTTCAAACAAAAAGAAATTTTAATTCTGTTCCTTATGATAAAAACTAGGCTACCACTTCCTGTACCAATAAAGTAAGAGCAAATGGCCGAGCCCAAACCATATTTTACTTTTTTCCCTTAATGTTAGGTGAGTGGGTGAATGTATTCACAAAAATTTAAGTATACAAGCAATTGTGCCACACACTAATGTGTAGAAAGCAGAATGATATGTAGAAAGATTTTATTGGTCACATTCAACGCGAAACAGTCTCATTAAAATAAGTAAAACTTACAAACTATTGGATAAAAAATGACGTGTCCACACATTGAGTCATCTGAACAGCGGCCTGGCTGTCATGTGATCTTTAACGTCACTGCAGCAGGCTGCAGGAAAACAGCTGAAAATAATTTTTTTAATTATTATTTAAATTCAGCGGAATCCACTAATGTCTCTTTCCTTGCTTGTGGGAGCCCGTTCTCGGGTTCCTCGTGGCTTTACCCAGCAGGTCCACATAGAGGATGATCAGGACCACGGGCCTGAGTGCAGGTGTCTGAGATGGCCTGCACTTGGCTGTGCTGGGGGAGGAGGTCTTTGGCTCCACCCCTTGGCGTCTCTATAAAAACCCTGGGGCAGAGACAGTCGGGGGCCCGTTGGAATAGGTTCCAGGCCCTGTTGAGGTTATCCTGTATTTACTGTTTATCTCCGCAAGATTCTCCGCAATATATCCTTTAATATTTCCTGCTGCTCACACTCAAGAAAACTCTGGGGAACTGTGGGGGTGGTGGGTAAACGCCCCACACTTGCTAATCTTACATTGAGCTCAGCAGCTTTAAAACTGTGCTCTCAAGCAATGAATGAACTCACAGCTGGAAGGGGGTGTCATAGAGAAGAGGTGAGGAGGACATGTCGGCAAAGGAATGAGGGGAATGTCTCATCTCCGTTAGATTCCACTCTTGGGGTTCAGTATGTTCCCAAAACACCTGTGCGCTCATGGCCATACGGGACTTCTCTGAGATTCTCCAACTTCCTAAAATCTGTGAGCCTATCCAACATCTTAATTAATGTTATACAAGTCTAAAATGTAAGTTACACCTCTTAAGTTTAAGAACATTTGTAATGACAAGAAATCAAAACCAATATCATCAAGGGCAGAGCTCTGCTAACTTTCTCACAGGGTGGTTTTATCTTATCACATTGGTTTGGTTTGTGTGTTGTGTATTCTGTACACCGTCATGTGGAGGTCAGAGGACAAGATTCGGGGTCGGTTCTCTCCACTGTGTAGGCTGTGGACACTGAACTCGATGTCAGGCTTGGTGGCCAGCATCTTGACCTGCTAAGCCAGCCCTAGCTGATTTCCCAACAGTCTCTTGCTGAACTCAGAAATCCCTGGTATAGTCAGTCAGTCAGGTCCTCTCGGGGCCCGTGGTGGTGTGTGGTGCAGCTAAAAAAGTCTGCTGGTTCACGTGAGGACAGACTCAAGCCTGAGCTTATCTGTGTCCTTAGCCTCTGTCAAGGTACAGAACGCTGGCAGAAATCCCAAATCAGTGCTGAAATGCCACATCCAGGAAGGCTACATCTGAGCCTGCCTAACTATCCAGGATGGGAAAGGAGATGGGGTGGATATGGTGTTGCCAGGAGAAAGGGTGATGAACCCCACACCCATTGACACCTGAGCCCCTACTCATATGGACATATATTCCTAGTGCCTTCCACAATTAGGAATGGAAGTCAGATCTTTTTTTTTTTTTTTTTTTTTGGTTTTTCGAGACAGGGTTTCTCTGTGTAGCTTTGCGCCTTTCCTGGAACTCACTTGGTAGCCCAGGCTGGCCTCGAACTCACAGAGATCCGCCTGGCTCTGCCTCCCGAGTGCTGGGATTAAAGGCGTGCGCCACCACCGCCCGGCAAGTCAGATCTTAATATTGACCAACTTCTTGAAAAGTGGTCACATCCTGTTTCATAGAGAAAATTGTTTCTCATATTCCATATACATTTTCTACTTGGAAAAAACTACAGACAGAAGTTACTGCAACAATCTTTGTACACACACACAGCCCAGCTGAATAATGATCTTACTAACTAAAATGGCCAACTCAAGGCACATACTGGCTTTCACAAAAATTGAATACTAATATAAACACATTTTATTTATTTTTTGAGACAGGGTCTCACTGGGTAGCCCTGGCTAGCCTTGAACTTTCTATATACAGCAGGCTAGGCTCGAACACACAGAGATCTGCCTGCCTCTGCGTCCTGGAGTGCTGGGCTTACAGACACACAACACCACACATAAGGGCTGTATTCACATCAGCTTTTAAGTAATAGACACACGACAAAAAATGTGGAAGGCAATGTGTACATTCTTTAGGTATATACAACTATATGCTTTTGTGTGGCTTTCATTTTTCCTAACGGCTTCTCTTTACTATGTAGCAGTGATATGATGATTAAATAAGCTATATATATTGTTATATAGGGCTGATTATCCCGTTCCACATTTATTTAGACAGATACACTTTGACCTTCAACTACAGGTTTCAATGTAAACTTCAGAAACAGTGTTTGTCATGTCCAATGTAATAAATACAGAATTAGTTCACAGTCTTTAAAAACAATAGCCACTGCTTCTAGCAGACCCCCCAGGAGACAGCCTATGGCTGTGAGGCTGTCGGGGTGTTGCTATGATCTGCCTTTTCTCCAGAGGCAGGGTGCTTCAGGAACTGACCAGTAGCGCCGATGTACAATCTTGATCGCATGGGCCACTTCTGGGGAAAAAAAAAAAAGAGTACTTAAGTAAGAATCTGAAGGTTAGTCTCTGTGACACACAACGCAGGTGTATAATAGCTAAACTTTAAAACACATTAATGTTAGTGAGGTTATTTAGCTGGTAAGGATTATAAGTACAAAGCCTGCGGGACGAGATGAAGACTGTTTAGCAATGTTAGCAATACAAGTGAAGAAGGCTTTGGTTATAACTGTAAAAATAATACACGTGCGTGTTTTACAAAAACTGCAGGAAGTTAAGGAGAATGAATATCGCTGAGATGTAGAAAGTCTACCATTATTTTAATTCCAAGTTAAACCTAAATTAAAATGAAAATGAAAACATTAGTTCTGAAGAAGCAGCGCTCAGGTAAATACGAAGTAGACATTTAAGAAAGGCATGATACAGAAAGGCTTGGGCAGCCTCTGGGCAGCCAGGGCAGCAACCTCACAAAGCAGCCCATGCTCTCCAGTCTGGGTTTTCTGTCTCACAGTGGGTGCCTACAGGTGATGATATTGTACTTTAAGTTTTCTAATATGCCTGAAGAAATGATTGTGAATATTAATAGCACGAATGGGCAATGTCTACAGAGACAGATGCGAGATTATTCTCATTTGAACATATAATACACACACATACTGAAGCACAGCATTGTATCTCACAATTATGTAAAACTTTCACATGTCCAGTGGAAAATAAAAATGTTGGTAGGTGGGTGTATGCTGTTATCTGGAAAGTCACTTTTCTGTGGCAGCAAACAAAAGTCCCATTTTAATGTCTTGAGGGATGACTAGCAAATACAGCCCTGAACGCTATCTCTCTAGTAAGGTATATTTATTTTATTTTCAGCTTGTTTTAAATCATATGTATTCTAAGTCCCTAGGTTTGCACACAAAGAAATAAACTTCATTATGGCATCTTAATATGCACATATGTGTTATTATGTTGTTCTCTATTCTAAAGTATATTTGAAATAATGTAGTTTTGTTTAAACTTATAAAAAAAAAAATCAAGCAATTAACCAGAACTGAGCCTGAAATCCAAGATCTTTAAAAATGCATTCTTATTCTAATTAAATGACCCCCAAACAACAAAGCCTCACAGTTTTTAAATTCTTGCTTATCGTTATGGACAGTGATTCCCATGAGGCCTGGCCATTAGCGGGGCCAGCCGCGCTTTTCCCCCTGAGTTAAAGGTCTGAAATACACTCCTGTTCTCCTGGAGAATCATCCCTCTAGGCCCCCAGTGCTGATCGAAACTGCTAATTTTCCAAGTGGATGAAAGTGGGTTTAGGCCATGCTACAAAAGTCCAGCTCTTTCTCTCTTTTTTTATTTATTTACTTTTATTTTATATGCATTGGTCTTTTGTCTGCAGGCATGTCTGTGTGAGAGCGCATCTTGGAGCTACAGTCTTGAGTTGCTTGTGGGTGCTGGGATTTGAACCCGGGTCCTCTGGAGGAGCAGTCAGTGTCTCAACTGCTGACCCATCTCTCCAGCCCCAGAAGTTTAGCTCTTATAACTCCCTTCCAGTTTAATGCACAGAACGCAGGGCCTTGTAAACTCTAACCATGAGCTCCACCCTGACTATCTCTTCCTCTGTCATCTGTGGTACTCTAAAGTCCCCAATCATTTTAACATGCTTATAATACATTGGTAAAAAAGGATTGCTGATTCAAAGCGACAGACTGGAATATTTGTTAAAATATCTTTAGTAATTTGTGGAGTACTTAGTAACACTGTTGTATTACAGGAAAACAGCAATTTTAGAACACTTACTAAGGGCTACCTACGATAGTTTGTAATGAGGCTTTACTTACCCCGAAAGTAAAAATGATCAGAATATTTTTATTCCCTTCGTATTAAGAATAGACTCAATATTTAAAAATTTCAACAGTGTCCACAAAATAGAGGCAAGCGATTTTCAACTAAGCATGTAAAATTTCTGTCTTCTGAAACTCCAGGCTTGTGGTTTAGACTGTTTTTCTTAATATAACATTTTTCTTTACAGTCCTATTACAATTTATATTTTTGTTTTTTTGGATCTATTGTATTCATTTAGGGAAGAGATTAAGTCTTACCGTTGTATTCCCCGTCCTAAAGCAGAGATTTCTACACAGTAATAAATCAAATGTTTGATTTTAAAACATACCAGTCCCTTGTTAACTATCATCAGCTTCATTTTTATGAGATAATCTTTGACCTTCTATAATTATCTCTAAGTTTAGAAATTTAGATATTATGGATATTGTCTTTCAAAATCAGACCACGGATTAGACTGATTTTTTTAAAAACAGTTATGACTACAAAACATTTGGCACGTGAGTCAAGTACGACGCCAGCTTGCTACGGCCCTTTCTGACACTGATGTCTCCAGCAGTTCTCATTCAAGAGAGCCGTGGGTGCCGCTGAGCTGAACTATTGACTTCACTCTAAATTTTATCAACTACGATGGAGGCATTTAACTTCCACTTTTGGTATTGAATCTTACTGTTTAAATAAACTTTCCTGGAATATAAGACAAATACCAAGTCAAGGAAGTCTATTATGGGATATCTGAATAGCATTAATCTACTGCTATTGTAATACAAACTTCTTAGTTGTAATGAGTGACTCTAACTGTTATGTTATAAAACTCAGGGATAAAACGGGTTCTATCATTACTATAAATAACATTTCATGTTTTCACATTTAACGTTTGAACGACTTTAATTCCATCACCACACTGATGGCATTTTCAAAGTAGGTTTTGTTAAAATGCACTACACAATTTTAAGTACAAATAATGTTAGAGGGTGTGTTTTATTACATTTCAACAAAATGTAATTCCTCATTTTTGTTACTCAATAATTTATTCAATGCTTAGACGCTTAAATTCTAATTGTATTTGTGTTCAAATATTTCTGAATAGTGGAACAAAAATGTGAACATTTAAATTTAGCAAACACAGAGATTCTTCATTTTGAAGAGAAAGGCAGATGAACGGAAGGTGTCAGAAGAAACCCAGGAAAAGATAATGCAGCGGCTACTCCATCACGGGTGAAAACTCAAATCAGATGCCACACTCATGACCCCTTCATGGATACGTAAAGAAACCATGCAAAATGGTTGGTTTCTCTTGGCTAATTTGAATACAGACCAATTCACTCAACATACATGCCAATTTAATATGACAGTTATATGAAACATTACCAGGGTTTTCTAACATTGTTGGTAGCTGCCTAGTCCACAATATTTAACTGTGATTGAAATTTTACTTTATGGGGATGCAGAACGGTCTCATTTGTTTTTACTGATTTTTGACAAGTTTTGTTTTATATCTTTTTTTACAATTACTTTAGGGGCAAAGAATTAATTCCACTATTCCACTTAATTCATGAAGCCTTTGTAATAGATCAAGAAAAAAAAACAATAGAAATGTAATTAATGTATGTTAAAACACTTGACATAACTTAGATGTTTAGCAGTCGTTAGGATGTACAACAGCTTTCCCATTTTCACCCCGAAAGAGCGAAAACCTTTAAGGGGCTTGAAATACACGAGCCCAGCTAGGATGAAAAGACCCAGCTTCCCGATTACAAACTGTTAAGAACCGTTTTGTACTGGCGACCTTGTCACCATCGCCCGCGGGCCCAGGCAGCTTTCTGGAGGTGTTTCTGCCTGACCTGGAGAAGTGTCAGCTCTGCAGCATCTGCTCCAGCAGCGACAGGGTGGGTCCCGGGGTCCCAGCGCGGGAGCGTCGCCTACCTTAACCGGGTGCAGGTAGCCGTCGCCTCGCAAGGCGCCCAGACTGGGGTCTCCCGGCGCCTCGGCGTCGTCCTGTAGGCTGCGGGTGAGGTGGGCGATGTAGGTGGTGGCCAGCAGCAGCACGTCCAGCTTGGACAGCTTGGTGTCGGGCGGCACCGACGGCAGCGTGCGCTGCAGCTCCAGGAAGGCGTGCCGCAGGGTCTGCACGCGGCTGCGCTCCCGAGCGGCGTTGGCGGCG